AAAGTATTGTTCCTGGTGACCTGTGCAATCTTTAATACACAGGAGCTTGAGGAATCCATTTTAGACCTTCAGCTGCTTTCCACCAATATCTGAGAACTGGATCAGTATGGTATGGAGGACATTCATGGGCATTCACCTGATGATTTACCGAAGGGGCCTGAAGAGTTTTGATTCCTTGTGAGTTTTGACATAGCATCCTGGTGGGCGGCTTGATTCCTTGCGCGTGTGTTTTGAGATAGCATCTTGGTGGGCACATCAGTGTCATTCTTCTCCATTGGTCGATTGTCGAACCAAAATGGCTCTATACCAAAATGAAATCTGAAAGCATTTGAAGGTGACAAGTCTGAAAAGTTGAAAAGGTCTAAAATGCTCAACGATTTAGGGTCTACTATGCACACAATGAGTATCCTAGACCCTATGCCTGGCGGGACCTAGAGCCCTCCCATCCTAGACCTTTAGTAGTTGGGGGTATACAATTGTCTTTTAATTTGCTGGCGCGCAATTAGGCATGGCATGAAGCTGTGCAGCGCTGTGCGATGTCCAGGCACAAAGTGTACTGTCAGCCTCAGGGCGCCGGTGCCAAAATGCGCTAGTACGCGCAGGTAGGCTCAATTCGGGTGAGAGCACCTCGGGCTTTGCCTGCTTTGCCTGGTTGCTCACCAAGGACTACCAAGGATATGATGTGCACCATATTGAAAAATGTTGTGCTGTAATAATGATAACTGCGCAGTACACACTTGCAATCAACGGAAGGAAGCTGGAGGAACACTAGCTTCCCTTGCACAACAAAGATGGCAGAGGAGTGATCATGGATGAGGCGAGATGGGTTGGGTGGCATGATGCGAAAAGATGTGTGTGTATGTGTTTGGAATCAGAGGGAGCCTTGTGGCTTCTGTGTTTCAAAGCAGGGACACCGGAGGTGCTGATGAGACCGCTGCTAACAAACATACCCATCAGGTACCTGTGATACAGTAAGCGACGTCCAGCAATGTACTAGAACAATCTTTCCAGTCTTTGCATCTGTTTCACACTCGGCCGTCACGCACGGTGTCTTGGGGGCTTTCGGGGGTGTTGATTTTGGAGCTGTTGTTAGACTTTGGTGGAACCTTCGAGATGGCTGGACCGGGCAGTTTTTTCACTTAGGGTTCTGCTAAGAATTGGGCCCCTTGGAATCACAAGGAATCCGTTGATTTGGTGTGTATCGCTTTTTCCCCAAACAAATCCAGAGTGTTGGAGGTAAGAACAAATCCAGACCGGCCTATTGCGTAAGGGAAGTTAAAGGATGTTAAAGGTAATGAATTGGCCATGCCTGCCCCTATCTTCGCTCAGATTCGTATGATGGCTAACACGGTTAGGGCCTTTGAGAGGAACCCGGGATCGTCCGTGTTCCCTGCTGATCGCGTGGCCTTCTCGAGATCCCTGTTGTTGTTTTCGTGCCTCTGGTATAGGGGTGTTTTTTTGAGCACGCTGCGGTTTCCGCCTTCCAGGCTTTTCTTGCAAAGCTTCCCGCTAAGGGACCACTTCGTATTACTTTCCCGGATTAGTTAGGTCACTTAGTGTGGACGCACACCCTCTTAGAACTGTTTCCGCATTTTGGTTAGCGCATGCCTTGAAGCCATTTCGCTCGCTCATTTCGTTCGTAGTTTGCCGGTTTGTGTCTCACTGTGGTCAGACATTAGTCCGGGCCTGCGATCGTGCAGCGTGAGGAGGGAAACAGTCTACTGCTGGGGCTCTATCTTACCAAAAAGAACTGGCCACACTCACTGGCCGCGCCCCTGAACTCTGTGGCTGGGCTCTGGCCGGGCTCTGCGGCCAGGCTCTGTATCCGGGCCTTGTCCTCCTCTTGTCCTTCTCTTGGCCGCGCCCATGAAACTCTGTGTAGTCTGTCGTTGGGCTCTGTGGCCGGGCTTTGTGGCCCGGCTCTGTGTCCGGGTCTTGTCCTCCTCTTCCCCAAACTGTTTACTGTCGGGGTTCTATCTTAGAAAAAAGAGCTGGCCACACTGACTGGCCGCGCCCC